CGCGACAGACAAGAAAACAACACGAGAAGAAGAGGAAGAAGAGGAAGAAGAAGAAGCCAAAGGAAAAAGAAAAGAAAATGAAAAGAAAAAAAAGAAAAAGAAAAAGAATTAAGAAACTCCATCCAACGGCCACACCATTTGAGACCTCCAAAACCGTTGTGTCACGTTGAATTGTATCTTTTTAATTTCTGTCGAGCTTCAACCACCCCGTTTCTCGCTCTCCCTGTCTGCCGCCACCACCGGCGCCCCCATCCCCGTCCCACTGCATGCCTTGATTCTTAATTCCTTTTTTTTGCTTTTTTTTTCTTTCTTTTTTTCCCTTTTTTTCCCTCTTACACCCCCCCACCCCACATAGGCTAAATTAAGCTTCCACCGGGACAGTTGGCCGCATAGATAGGCAATTCTAATCCGCTCCGCTGATAAGGAAAACCAAAAAAGAACAAGAAAAGAACAAGAAAAGAAAATAAGAAAGCAAAGAAAGCAAAAAGTGAGTAAAAAGCAAACATGTAGACAAGAAGAGAGAGATCAGACAGACAGAGAGAAAAAAAGAGAGAGACAGAAAATAGAAGAAGGGGGGGGGGAAAAGAAAATATCAAGGTTTTTAAACAGCCTCGAAAGAATATTCCGAGAAGCATGTGCCGTGAAGTTAAAACGCGCCCCCCCCGGTCGCTGGCTGCGACACGGCAATCGGGAAAAAAAGGGAAGACCAAGGAAAAAAAAAAAAAAAGAAAGGAAAAAGAAAAGATGAGGGGTGGGGATGGGCCACGATAACCGTAAAATTGGATCTCGAGATCTAGTCTGTGTGTGTGTGTGTCTCTTTTTGAGGGTAAAATTCTACCTGGTTTTAGCTGCCTGACCTCGTCGTAGTACATAATGAAATCCTCAAACAGAGAGATAGATAATCGATGGCCACCGGACTCGCTGGATACTTCTGCTTGACAAATAATTAAAGTACTCCTGCTCTCCTCTCCTCCTCTTCTTCTTCTTCTTCTTCCTCTTCTTCTTCTTCTACTTCTACTTCTTCTTCTCGTTGTTCCCGCCTCTGTTCACTCCTTATTTTTCTCTCATCTTAACTCAATTCCTTTCGTCCCAAAGGTCGGCGGGAAAGAAAAGAAGCCAACCCAGATCTGCACACGCACCAAAGCTTGTTTTTCCCCATCTCTGAGATCATCTCTCGTTCCCTGCCAGAAAGGTCCGGAGCTCCCTGGGAATAAATCAATCTTTCCTCCTTACAATTTTCCTCAGTCTTTTTGAGGCACACACAATCAATACACACGCCGACGTATAACCTATACACGAACAAAATAGCAGACATGTCCCATCTTCCGATCGAGCCGGAGTTCGAGCAGGCCTACAAAGGTTTGTCTCCCACACACTCTCTTGCTTCCTGTTTTTCTCTCCTTCTTCCAGTTCCTCGCTCTCAAACCGCACACCATCAAATGCCAGACACCAATTGGGAGGGAGGAGAAGGCAGGAGGGGAAAAAAAAGAAAGAAAGAAAAAGACAAATGGCAAAAGCGATCAATACCCAGCAGGCTGACCGTACCTCTGCGCAGAATTGGCCTTCTCCCTCGAAAACTCCACCTTGTTCGAAAAGCACCCAGAGTACCGCAAGGCCCTCCAGGTCGCTTCCATCCCCGAGCGTACCATCCAATTCCGCGTCACCTGGGAAAATGACAAGGGAGAGGTGAGAATCAGTCCTGCCAGCCGGAGAAATTCATCCGGTCATGTCTTGTAGTCACGCAAGTCTCTAATCAATTTCCCTTTTTTTTTGGGGGGGTGGGAACAACAGCTCGAGGTCAATCGGGGCTACCGGGTTCAGTTCAACTCTGCGTTGGGTCCGTATAAGGGTGGTCTCCGCTTCCATCCCACCGTGAACATGTCCATCCTCAAATTCCTTGGTTTCGAGCAGATCTTTAAGAACGCACTCACCGGATGTATGTCCCATGAAGAACCCTTCACTTCATTTCCTTTCCTTTCCCTACCCTCTCCTCCCCTCCCGTCCACCTTCAACAAACACGCCATGGCCGGGGCTGACATTTGGTTGATCGCAGTGAACATGGGCGGTGGTAAAGGTGGCGCCGACTTTGACCCCAAGGGAAAGTCCGACAACGAGATCCGGAAATTTTGCAGTGCTTTCATGATGGAGCTGAGCAAGCACATTGGCGCCGACATCGACGTTCCGGCCGGTGATATCGGTGTCGGTGGCCGAGAGATCGGCTTCCTGTTCGGTGCCTACAAGAGACAGAGACACATCTGGGAGGGTGTCTTGACCGGAAAAGGTCTTAGCTGGGGTGGTTCCCTGATCCGCCCCGAGGCCACCGGTTATGGTCTCGTTTATGTGAGTTTTTCTTTCCCGCCCTTAGGACTCCCAATTAGCGCTTCGAGGGAAAAAAAAAAAAAAATGCAAAGAGAGGATCAGATTGCTCATCAAAAGGACTAAAATAGTATGTGCAACACATGATCGAATATGCCACCAACGGCCAGGAATCGTTCAAGGGAAAGCGTGTGGCCATCTCCGGCTCCGGAAACGTCGCGCAGTACGCCGCCCTCAAGGTCATCGAGTTCGGTGGAACCGTGATCTCTCTCTCAGACAGCAAGGGTGCTCTCGTCATCCGGAACGAAGGCGATTCCATCACTCCCCAAGAGATCTATGAGATCCAGCAACTCAAAGACCAGCGTAAGCAGCTTTCCGCCCTTGCCGACGCCCCGCACTTCAAGGACCGATGCGTGTACATCGAAGGAGCCCGGCCCTGGTTGCACGTCGGCCAAGTGGATGTGGCCCTCCCATGCGCCACCCAGAACGAAGTGTCTGGACCCGAAGCTCTGGGGCTGATCCAGAGCGGATGCAAGTACATCGCCGAAGGTTCCAACATGGGCTGCACGCTCGCCGCCATCGAGCACTTCGAAGCCCACCGCCAACTGCACAAGAAAGGCGGCGCCGTGTGGTACGCCCCCGGAAAGGCCGCCAACGCCGGTGGTGTCGCCGTCAGCGGTCTCGAGATGGCCCAGAACTCGCAGCGGCTAACCTGGACCGCCGAGGAGGTCGACCAGAAACTGAAGAACATCATGAAGGTGTGCTTCGAAACCGGTGTCAGGACTTCCGAAACCTACACCGCGCTGAGCGAGGGCCAGCTTCCATCCTTGGTCATCGGTAGCAATATTGCCGGTTTCATTAAGGTTGCTGAGGCGATGAGAGACCACGGAGACTGGTTCTAAGATCACAACCCGTCGTCTTTGTTTTTTTTTTTTCCCTCTCTCTTTTGGCTTTTTGGCCTCCCCCTTCAAACCATGCATCCTCCTTTGTTTAATATTCCCCCTTTTCCGAGTCGCTTTTTATTTTGTTTGTTTTGTTTTGCGCTCCTTTTTTTTTATTAATGAATGCCGTGATGTCCCTTCGTCTTCTGTCGGTCGGCTGCTGGGCGCCTGGTTCAAAAACCATTTCTTTTCGGAGGTATCAATATCTTTGTCGGGTTCTGTTTTCCTCCAACCCCCCGGTTCGGCGTTGGAAATACTCTCAATGCGGGAGACCAGGATCTTTGGGTGAATGGGTTTCCTATCACGTCATTTCTCTCCCTGTTTTCTTTTCTTTTCTTTTTTTTCTTTTGTTTTCTTTGGTTCTGCTTTTCTTGTTCTGTTTGTAATTTTGGTTTTGGGCGGCATACATGATCTGATGCACTGGAAATGTCTTGGAAATGAATGTATCTTAGAGGGTCCCCTTTTTTTTTTTTTTTTTTTTTTTTTGCTTTTGCTAGATGTCTTTCCTGGTGTTCAGGAGAATAAATGAATGGTACATGATTTATAATAAAGATGATATAGTTCGAACCATTGGAAGATTCCTGGATGTTTTGGTGATGATGTTTTTGAGGGCTTGAAACGCGCGATGTCCCGATGGGGGTAAACGCCGATTACATGAGCATGCTGAGGAAAAAAAAAACGGGCATCATGGCATCGACCGCCTCAGCGAACGCACGCGGGGCACAACGGCGATTGATCGGTGATGGTGATGGTGGTGGTGGTTGGTGGTCCTGGCGGGCGCCACCTGCAGGAAGGCAGATGAAGGGGGGGGGCCGGACAGCCTGCATGGAGTGCGCCCATTTTGATTTGAGTGTTTGGATTTGTCGACCAGGGGTCTTATTTCGGCATATGCTCTACTGGAAACAATGGATGGATGAGCAGGTTTCTGGGCGTCATTTGTCAAACACGCCAACATCTTTGACCGGGCATGCATACATGGCTGATCGCTGTTGGTCCCTGTGTGCTTGGAGAAAAATGGAGAGATTTGATTGATCTGAAGAAGACAAGATAATGCATAGATCTGTCGGTTTATATGCTTTGGATGGCTGATAATTGTTTTAGATTACCGGTTTTCTGGCAACTGAGAAACGCCAGGGCGAAAGGTGGGGGGAGTGGATGAGAAGGAGGTCGGGGTTTGTGCACAACCGGATCACGGCGCTTGGATAGCGGATCCTGTGGCATGGTGAGAGATTTAGGATGAGAGAGGGCTGGATGGAGGAAGTTGGAAGAAATCATTGAACTTTGCAAGCTCGTCTTGAAGGATTTTACCCTCAACTGACAAGTTTTTGAAAACGGGGGGTTCATATTTTACGTACTCTGTACGGAGTACTCCGTACATCAATTTGGAAAAAAAAAGAGAATTATTATTATTATTATAATCTGAAAAAAGGAAACAGGAAAAAGAAGAAAAACGAAGCAGAAAAAGAGAGATGAGATCATCAGCGAAGTTTTTCCCCTTGGGACCTGGCGGCTCGATGCAACCCAAGTCAGGCACCGAATTGAAGGGCGGCCAACGGCAGCTGAAAAGAAATGGGCCGACAAGCCAGTGAGAAAATAGTCAGGCTGACCGCCAATCTTTTCTTTTTTTTTCGCTTTTTGCTTTCGCTTTCTGCTTTTGCCATTTTGCTTTTTTTTTTCTTTTTTTTTTTTTTTTTTTTGCGCTTTTTCTTCTATCTTTTTCGGACCTTTTTGGTTATCGACGCGTTATCGGCGTCGCCACGTGGGGAAATTCGAAGATGGATCGGGTTTGTTTTCCGCCTCGACTCTGCCACGGCGTCTGAAGAACCAGGAAACAGAGAAATGGAAACGAGAAGTTCTCCCCCCGGGAACGGCGGAGTGTCCACAGCGGAGCCGAAGCTGAACGACGCGCCCGACGGTGGTTCCTTCAGGCTCGGGTCTGGCCACAGACTCCCGAACAGGGCCTAGAATGCCCGAAAAACGACAACGCAGCGCGCCTCTTTTTGAAGCTTCAAAGCAAGAGGAGGAGCGTGCGAAGGTTCTCGGGAGTCGCTCGTCTGGCGGGTTTTGCGACACGAGCAGCCGGGCCGGAGAAAAGGGCGGCAACAGCCGACCATCTTTGGGCCTGGAAAATAAAAATAAAAATCAACCAAAAAAAAAAAGAAAAAAGCCTGGGAGCAGGCGTGAAAAAAAGTTGCTCACTTCGCAACAGTTTCGTTCGAGGGACAGGAAGAAAAGCGCCCACCTGGCGGTCGATGACTCGCTGACTCTTTCTGGCTCTTCTGGCTCTTCTGGTCCTTTCTCGTTACTTGAGGCCCTGCGTGTTCTTCCTTGCTTTTTCGTTTCAGGGTAAGCAGCGATCGGGGATTTAAAAAGCGGGTTTTTTCCCCTCTCCCTCGTTATTCCAACCACTCAACAACTCGTATGTAGAGAGAGAGAGCTGGCTGCTGGTTCGTCAGGCTCCGTCATCAGCTGCCTCTTTTTGGCCTTTCCCAGCTGGACTGCGCTCCCGAACAGGCCTAGTCAGGTCCCGAACCCGCCAATCATACCCCGCCACCCTGCACCCTTGCCCTGGATCGCGCCCCACTCTTGGCGCTGACGTCTCGCCACGCTAGCCCTGTTCGGGTGAAGTGGGGCCCCCAACCAAGTCAGGCACATTTTTTTTTTTCTTCTTTTTTTTCCTTTTCTTTTGCTGCTGCGTGTTGCTGAGCCGCGCGCCGCCCCTGAATGACTAGTCGTTACCGCCCTCCACCTCTCGTTTTTTTAAATTCTACCCCCCGTCCACCCCGTCATCTCCCTCCTCCTCCTCCTCCTCCTCTCCTTTTCTTCTTCTTCTTCCTCTTCTTCTTCACGACGACATTCTCTCACTCTCTCTCTCTGTGTCCGTCTTGACGACTGTCCAGTCCTTCCTTTTCGTCCTCCCGACTCTCGTCAGCGCCCCCACATCTGCTCGCCTGGGACTTCACTCCTTTTGAGTCCACAGCCGGGTTTCATCTTCGCACATCTCAAAACACCAAACCCACCGTTCGTCACGGTTCGTTCTCTCTCTCACACACACTCTCTCGAGTAGCTCAGCAGCTGTCGAAACTTGGAAAACAACATAAACCACAGTCGCAAATTCACTCCTTGATTGCGCTGTCAGATCCCAATTCGAAACAACCTTCCTTTCTGTCTTCTGAGAATCGCCTGGTTCGATTCAAAAATTCTTGTGTTTCGTCGATTTTCTTCTTTTTTTTTTTGAAACCGTCGTTCTAGAGCAAGCTCTCTAGCAATTCCAGTGGACGCCTTGCCAGAAACTTTCAATTCGGACATCTTCAATCCCACCTTTCAGAGAGATTTTTCTTTTTGCAAACATTTGTCGAAATCTCGCCTGTGATCCACGATGGCTCCGAAATTCCTCAAGGCCCTTACCGCTGCTGCCGGCCTCTACGCCTCTCTCGCGGCCGCCGCTCCTCTCCAGAAGCGCGCGATCGTCTGGGAGACCGTCACTGACATTGTCGTCGAGACCGTCGAAGTCACACTGACCGTCACTGGAGTCCCCGGTGGTCCAAAGACGATCTCCCCACCAGAGCTCACCACCACCACAACTGAACAACCACCTCCAGTCCCGACGACCATGTACAAGGCTCCACCACCACCACAGTCACCGCCTGCTCCTACAACAACCGCCCAGGCTCCACCACCGCCGCCGCCGCCACCACCACCACCACCACCACCTGCTCCCACGACAACTCAAGCTCCTCAATATCCTCCTCCACCTCCACCACCACCTCCACCAGCTCCAACAACATCCAAAGCTGCTCCCCCTCCCCCTCCCCCACCTCCACCACCCCCACCACCAGCGCCACCAGCTCCTAAGCCATCCAAGCCTGCTCCACCACCCCAGCCACCCACCGAGCTGCCCGACCCCTCCAAGCAGGTCTTTTCTGGTGACATGACTTTCTACAACGGTGGTCTGGGTGCCTGTGGAACTGAAATCGATACCCAGGGTGAGGATGCTGTCGCTATCTCCGTCGACATCATGGGTAGTGAAAACAACAACAGCCCATACTGCGGAAAGACTATAACCATTGAGTACGGAGGTGTGACCTCCAAGGCTGTCGTCAAGGACAAGTGCCCAACCTGCGTAAGTTAAATCACATCCTTAAAATAAAACAAAGGTAGATTACTGATGTTTTTTGATGCAGGCTCGTGGTTCACTTGACATGACTCGCCATCTCTTCTACAAATTGTAAGTACCGCGTTTTCCTGCCTCGTACTTGGGCTTTGTATCCACAAGACGCTAACTGACGGAAAATTAGTGCCGACGAAGCGGAAGGTCGTGTCCATGGAGTGAAATGGTCGTTTGACGACTAGGCTGGTCCCTAGTGTCAACCTCAATCCCGAAACCTTTTTCTTTCATTCTTGGCTTCGTTGCCACCTCTTCACTTCTTTTCCAACTGTTTTTGTGTGGGATGGGGGTTTGATCCCTTTTTGATGCAGGGATTCTCAGAGAGAATATTCTCGTCGGCAAGATTGCAACACATTTACCATTGTTGACCTATCAACCAAGCCTCCAAAGGTGACTTTTGATTTTGATAGGGATATGTACATACATAACAAGCACATTGTCTCTGTTTTTTTCCCATGCATATAACCACCTCACCCCACTGAAACTGTTGGAAATGATTTTATGATTCATGGTCAAGTTCTGCGCTTCCTGTTCATATGCATTTCAGACAGGGGGTTTCTTGTGGCGAGGTTAGGGCCAAAGGGTAAAAGGAGAAGGAGGAGTACTGGAGATCTGCGCAGCTTTCGATCTTTTTTATGGGGGGGCAGATTGATTTTTCTCTTCTTCTCTCTCGCTTGCCTCAATTCTGCCCTAGGAGAATTTTGGCCCCCTTTTTTTGTTTCACATGAATTTTTTGAGACTTTGTTTATACCAAAATACCTTAGATCTGGAACAACAGCAATTGTTTTGAACAAGAAAAAAACCTGTCAACTCTAAACGGAGGAAATGTCCTGTGCGTACGGTGTAAATCTCTGTTCTAACTAAGTGTGAGCTCGTGTTATCTCGTGTACCCAGCACATTTTAACTTCAGAATAACACCCCCAGCTCGAGGGGGGAAAAAAAAGAAGTCAAAACGCCGAAAATCCTGTCAGCAACTACGGGAATACTTTATCCTCGACATTGGGCTAAGCGCTACGCATAAAAAAAGGAATTGAGACGGGACCAGACAATATATATATAGTTAGCGCCTTGATCTTCAAGCCCTTGCAATTGCTGCGCAAAAAAGGGGGGGGAAACCTGCACGTCAGACCAGGGAACAAGCCCCCCCGGGCCCCTGGCGGACACTCATCCTCCCATATCCCAAGGCTTTGTTTGAACCCCACACCCATGAACTCCGAGATATACAGTAACCCCCCCGGGCAGACGTGTTTCATGTGGCTGAGGCCGAGGCCAGAGGTCAGAAACAGAACCCATCCATGGCAAGCATGGGGGGAGGTGAAGATGGAGTGTGGGTATGATGATTCTATGTATGGTATGTATTTTTATGTACTCCGTACTGATGCTGATAAAATTATGATATTTTTAATCACCTATTATTACTCATAAACTACACATGTCAGAGCGTGAAGGGAGGAGGAGGGGAGGCGAAAAAACAAAAAGAGCTGAGACATACTAAAAAAGAAAAAAAAAAGGAAATGAGATGGTAAGGAATATAATGCATGTAACTGATAATAGATGAGAGGAAGAGAAAAAAAAAAAAAAAAAGCAACAAAATGGGGTACCAAAAAGCAACAAGCAAAATACATAGCAAACTATAGGGGTGGGGGGAAAAACAAAAAGGAATAGCAGCGTTGCTTTAACTGCCCTATGTAAACTACCCATGATCATAATCCCACATCATAGACATTCATCGACTTCATATCCTAACCACTGCACATCATGCAAGCTTCTTTGTTTTCGATGCTACCTACAACCAAAGAAGGAAAAAAAAGTTCATGGTTAGCAAACATCCTCGAAGAAGTTTGATGTGTGTTTAGAAGTCCGAAATAGTAGGCAAAAGTATCACTTACACTGCAACACCTTCTGCGAATAAATATCCTGTTCACTCTGTCCCTGCTCACCGGTATTTGTCTCGTTGACCTGTACCTCCGTCATTGACTGGGTTTGCTTCTTCCCCAGCTCCTCATCCGGCGGAGCCGTCGCCGGTGTCCGTTGGAACGCAGGAATCCCCTTGGGACTCACTGGCCGAGGGGGCTCCGATTCAGGTTGCTTCTGGTCGTACATCGGCCGGGGCACGGCGGAGTAAGCGCCAGAAGAGTTACCAAGCCCACCACCTCTCTTTTTCCCCACGACGCTCGACCTCGCGACGTTTGTATCTGCAACTTTGAGCTGTTCCTGGTCGACCGTGAACTGGATAGGTGCAGAAGCTGCCATCGTGCGGAGATAGTACATTCCCGTCTTCAGACCCAGCTTCCATCCCGCAAAGTGCATGCTGGTGATCTTGCCCATCGTAGGCTCCTTGAGGTGGATGTTGAGGGATTGAGACTGGTCAATATATGCACCACGGTCGGCGGCCATTTGAACGATGGTTCTCTGAGAGATCTCCCACACTGTTTTGTAAAGAGCCTTGATGTCGGCGGGGATATTTGGAATGTTTTGGATTGAACCGCCTTCAGCGATTATGCGATTCTTCATGTTGTCGGACCAAAGGCCGAGATCGACGAGATCCTTCAAAAGCCATGGATTCACGACTTGGAATTCACCGGCAAGAACACGACGAGAGTAGATGTTTGACGTGTATGGCTCAAAACATTCGTTAAATCCGAGGATCTGACTTGTGCTAGCGGTAGGCATGGGAGCAACGAGTAAACTGTTGCGAACACCATGTTTTGCGATGTCCCTTTTGAGGGAATCCCAATCCCAAAGGTCGGTTGGGGTCACGTTCCACATATCATACTGCAAAATGCCTTGCGAGACGGGAGAGCCTTCATAGGTCTCATAAGGACCGTCCACCTTGGCGATATCGCAAGACGCGGTCAAAGCAGCGTGATAGATCGTTTCAAAGATCTGAATATTCAGTTGTCTTGCTTCCGGCGAGTCGAATGGCAACCGCAGGGCAAGGAAAGCATCGGCAAGACCTTGCACACCGACAGCAATAGGACGATGGCGGAAATTACTCTTTCGTGCTTCAGGGACAGGATAATGATTGCCATCAATGATTTTGTTCAAATTTCGAACAAGAACTTGTGTGACTTCATGCAGCTTGCCAAAGTCATACTCGCCACGAACGGGATCGACGTATGTGGGTAAGGCAAGGGATGCAAGGTTGCAGACCGCAACTTCGTCTGGAGAGGTATATTCGATGATTTCCGTGCACAAGTTAGAGCTTCGGATGGTTCCAAGGTTTTTCTGGTTGCTCTTGCGGTTGCACGCATCCTTATAAAGCATAAAGGGGTTCCCGGTCTCAGTTTGAGCTTCTAGAATCGCATACCAAAGCTTCTGGGCCTTGATGGTCTTTCGGCCACGGCCTTCCTTCTCGTACCTGCATATTATATGTTACTATCAAATAAGCTTTACCTTCAAGAATATTAACTTACTGCTCATAGAGGGCCTCGAACTCATCGCCATAAACATCAGCAAGCCCTGGTGCCTCGTTGGGACAGAACAAAGTCCAATCACCGTTTTTCTCAACACGTTTCATAAACAAATCAGGTGTCCAAAGGGCGAGGAACAGATCACGGGCTCTCACTTCCTCCTTTCCGTGGTTCTTGCGAAGATCCAAAAATTCGAAGATATCAGAGTGCCAAGGTTCAAGGTAGATGGCGAAGGCACCTGGCCGTTTATTGCCACCCTGATCGACGTACCGAGCGGTGTTATTAAAGACACGGAGCATAGGGATAATTCCGTTGGAGGAGCCGTTTGTTCCTGCAATGTAGGAACCAGTGGCACGGATACGATGGACATTAAGACCGATACCACCGGCTGTCTTTGAGATCAGCGCACAGGTCTTCAGAGTATCATAAATGCCTTCGATACTGTCCTCCTTCATGTCGATGAGGAAACAGGAAGCCATCTGTGGCTGTGGCGTTCCAGCATTGAAAAGCGTGGGGGAAGCGTGAGTGAAGAACTTCTGGGACATCAGATTATACGTCTCAATTGCCTTCTCAATGTCTTCGCCATGGATGCCGACTGCAACACGCATGATCATGTGCTGGGGACGCTCAGCGACCTTGCCGTTGATTCGCAATAGGTACGACCTTTCCAGAGTTTTGAACCCAAAGTATTGATAATTGAAGTCACGGTCGTAAACGATAGCTGAGTTAAGCTCAGCTGAATGCTTCATGACGATTTCGTATGTCTTTTGGGAGATCATAGGTGCAGGGCGGTTGTTCTTTGGGTTAATATAGTGGTAAAGATCGTCGATGACAGATGAGAATTGCTTCTTGGTCTGCTTGTGCAGGTTGGACACGGCTATTCTGGCGGCAAGGATAGCATAGTCTGGATGGGTGACAGTCATGTATGCAGCAGTTTCAGCGGCCTAGATTTAACATGCAATTTAGCACTTGAAGCTTGCTTGCTAGACGATGTGCTCATCCTTACCAGGTTGTCCAGCTCAATGGTAGTTACTCCTTGGTATACTCCCGAAATTACTTTCTGGGTGATAGCTGCAGCATCGACATGCTCTGGATCAAGCCCATAGCATAATCTTGACACGCGAGCCGTGATTTTGTCGAATTGCACGCGCTCCTTGCGCCCGTCTACGTGTCGGGGGAGGTTAGCCAAAAAGGCCCAGGACGCAGGCCGGAGGGAAACACGAAATAGAAGAGGCAGCTGAATGTACCAAAGAAGAAGCTCTCTTCCAGCTCGTGCGGTAATGTATTGGACTCACCTCTCTTGTAGACGAACATCTTCGTTCGTCCGTCCGTTGACACTGAATGCGCGGGCTCACTGCTGCTGCTTGTCTGGAACCGGGTATAAGCTATATAATACTCTTTTTTCACCTATTAGAATCTAATCAGAATTAGATCGTGAAAAAAAGAAAGGAAGATGGTTATCGAGAAAGGAGGGAGAAAAGATTATGAGGTAAACAGTGGAGGAGAGGAGGAGGCGGGCGGAATTTTTCGATTTATGAAGCAAGCAGACGCGTTCCAGCAGCAACCCGAACGCGTTGCGGGCGCTCCCAGCCAATTATTAACACACACGCTTAGTCAGCTCGCGTTCGGTGCCAAGACCGGCAAGTCCAGCGAGCGAGCTGCGAGAGCCGTCTTGAGAAGCACGTTTCGATTTCCCGAATTCTAGCTACAGAGAAACCAAACACGTTTTATGTGCAGCTGGCCAGTAGCCATTGGAAGCGTTGAAATAAATACCATCTCTGTACGGAGAAATAGTGACGCTCCTGAAAGCCTAAATAGTTTGTTATCTAGCTACACGATGTACAGGAAAACAGTTGTTAATGCTCGCAGGTTCAGAGTTGGCCTTGAGGTATGGCTAAACCGGACCAGTTCTGCATTCACTTTGAAGACAATGATTTAAGTGGAATTATCAAAGCATATACACTCAGACGAAAAGCAATCAGCAAAGAATCCCTTTCTAGCTCTACAGAATAGCAGCTCCGACGATCGCTGCCATAGCTGCCAATGCGAAGGACTGGGATTTAAGTGAAGATGCAGCATTTCCGGTCTCTATAGGCTCGCTGCCGGAGGTGGTGGTGGCCGAACCCGTTGCCTGAACAGGAGAGGTAGCCGATCCAGTGGGAGATCCGGTTGCAGACATGGTGGCTAGGGTGGTAGAAATCTCGATGAGTTCTGTGGCGAGACAGGGGCTGTTAGCCAAATCTTGCAATTCACGAGTTTTTTGTTTGGTGATTTTTTTTTTTTTTTTTTAAAGAAGAAAAAAAAAAGGAATAAGGTAACGCTTTCGCAAATTGATGACAACACATACCGACTTTGTTTCCGGATTCGGAGCATGATTTGGAATAAGCATTTAGTGCCGCCTGGACGTTGGAGTCGTCGCAGAGCTTGACGATTTCGTTTTGGACTTTCTTGGATGCTGATCCGCACATAACGTCCATATCAGACGGATCCTCTTGGGTACTATTTATTATAGAGGGATTAGCACAGGATCAGAGAATATCGCAAAGCGTTATCGTTCTCTCTTTGGCATTAACTAGGACGGTCCAATGCAACGAAGGAGCAAGCTTACTTGATAGCAGCAATAAGGCATCCTGGGGGAGTGGCAACGGCGAAAATATTGAGGAGTGCCAACACGGTCACAAAGAGAACAGCTCTAGCGGAGAACATCTTCGATAATGTCACGGGCGAATGTTGCAAATGTTTCGAGAGAAGGGGGTTTTCAAAATGGGCTTCGGGATGTCGGCACGGACAAGATTGCGGTTCAAACGAGGGTAACGAATGGGAAAGACTTCCACTGTTCGACAGCGAAAAAATGAATGAAGAATAAGAAACAAAGGAGTGGCTGGAGCTGGTGTGCAATGAAAGAAACGAAGGTGACCTTGAGCTGCGGAAGATTGAGCAAGGAGAGGATCGAGAGTTTCAAGTCGTTCGAGGAGAGGCGAAACAAAGTTCGGGCGGCGACAAATCGGATTTCCCCTTGTCAGCCCGCCAACTCACTAGCGCGGTTCCTGCCAAGACCTTCAGCCAAAACACCGTTCGAAGGAACAGCCGGTCCGATGACACCAGAAAGCCGTTGCGACGACGACGACGAGCGACGTTTTAGGATGTATGTACGGAGTATTTTGCGATGGTTCGAGGATATACACGAAACTACAGAGTACATGTGACGATCGTGAGTGAAGTGCGGAAAGTATAGTGATTAGAAACTTCACATGCGGACTGTAACTACATATGTATTCCAAGTCATTAACGTTGTATCTGCCCCTCGACGCACGTCATTTCCACCCCATATCTTCCCGGCTCACAACGATCTCCGAAACTTCCAGCCTATTCTCCACGATCTCTTTTCCGTTGACTAAATCGTTTTCCACCGCTCTCTTGTCGGCCTCTTCTTCGTTCTTCGCTATGCCCGCCTCAACATGCCTTTTCACTAGCCTCTGCCTCGCAACCTCAAAGTCCACCTCCACAAACCACACCTCATCCATCAGCCCCGCCACCTCAGTCCAAGGTTCGTTGTTTAAACTAAGATAATTCCCCTCGAAAAATACAATTCTCGCCGTCACCGGGATTGGTATGTCGTCTTCCACGGGGTCCTTAATCGCATGGTCGAAACTAGGCGCGTATATGATCGCCGAGCTTGGACTAATATCTTCACGTACTGCACGGACTAACTTCGTGAATTTCACGGGGTCGAAGGTGAACGCTGCCCCACGCCTGGCCACAGCGTACACAGGATCCGGCATCGCTGCCAATTGGGCTCGCGTGAGGTGAAATCCGTCCATGCCCACCCAAGTAGCGATGGGTGGTTTATCAGGGTGTTCTGTCGCATACCGAACATTCATCTGTTCGGTCATGATTTTCGCCAGGGAAGATTTCCCTGACCCTGGAATTCCGCTGATCGCGACCATATAGCGCGAGGATGGCGGGATTGAGAGAAATTTGGCTGCCACGTATCGTGGAAATAAGTTAGCATTATTGCTCAACCTAAGGCGCACTGTATGCACCGGCAGGATTGTGGATGCATGCGGTGTTTCATCAAATAGCCACATAAAGCCGCGAACTGAGGATGTTTGCTCACCCCATACTTTATCAACAAGCCTCTGCACTTGGTCGTCCATGATGATTTATAGTTGTTTGGCTGGTTTGACGGTAGAAGAAGAATTGCTCAGACTGACAGTGTTTTACTCCACACTTTGTATGTACAAGTGACAAATGGTAGGTCACAGAATCCAAGCACACCGCATCTAAAATAAAACCGGATTGGCGTGCTGATGACATTACATAACTCCTTAGTTACTCTCTACACTTACAACTAGGTGTGTGATCTTAGGTTCTTATTAATATCAAGCACTTTCATCACCACCAATGCTCGCCACCTCAATTAGAATAGACCACACCACAGTGAAGAAGACCAGAATTTGTTGCATCCATCAACCATTCTACTCTATGTGAGCTGACATCTTCATTCCACCAAGTGAACTGGCGGTATTCGACAAACAGAAGAAAAGCATGTTTAATATCTGCTTTTCAGTTGAACTCTTACCAGGACAGAGTACATCTGGCGAACAATGAATGGTATGGATCCCACCTTTTCCACAGAGAGCTTCTTCCCGAGGAAACCCTTTGTGATGAACTTTGCTACGATGAAGCAAGACTGGCCACATTGTGCTCTTTTCTGTGATATGTGGACACAATTTGTTTAATTTGGACTGGAAATTCCTGATGAACGTGGTGTTGGAGATTGGCTGTAGACAATACCTGTTCCTATGTCTTTCCTCTTCATTTCTTTCAATAGTCCTATTAAATTTCATCTGCTCTTTATCGCCTGCTAGATGTCCTTGCCTTAATCCGTCATCTTATTTCTGAAAATCCTAGGAGAAACCATATTATATATCTATATAAAATGTCATTCACAACTTTGGTCGACAATACATTAGAATATCCTTGCCAATAGATTCTATAAGCAATATTATCTTTAAAATTCTGAATGATCTTAGCGTCAAGCTTATCATATTTGATATTTTTTGGTTTATTCTCCTCATAAAATTCTTCACTAGATTTTAACACCTTGGTGCTGTGCGACGACAATCATTCTTCAAAAGAGGTCCTGAAGGTTGACCCTATCTCTCTTTTGTTCCTATAATGAATACTAGATATACCAGACATGAATCGTGGCTTTCATACAAAACCACATGGTGCTTGAAGGAAGCACCAATGGTCCAACATGCAGATCTCCAAAACAAAACAAAACCAAAAAAAAGGGAGACAAAACCAGGTATTTCGAGCGGCATAAATATGGGAAAGAATTTCCTACTCCCGAAAGCAACATCAAAGTCAAAATTTTGACGAGACGCCGGCTACTTATTTGCCGGTGGATTTGATTTTCCATCGAGTTAAAAGCTTAAAAGCAAAGCAGAGTAATGCCAGCTTATCCGCTTCGAATAGATTGAAAGAAGAAAGTGAAGGGAAGATAAAGGGGAAGGAAAAAAAAAAGGGAACGGGGAATTTGGCTCAATCGTCCTGGTCCTCGGTACTAGCGTTGTTGAGTTCGCGCCGAATAGTTCGTGATAAACCTGCTGTAGCCCACCACTCGTCTGGAATGTCGTCCCTTCGCACTAGCCGGTCGAGAATCGCGTGCACCTCTTGTAGATCTGGATGCATCGACTGTGAACTGAACGAGGCGCTGGTCGAAGTAACAGGCGTATCATTATTGCTATCATCATTCCGGTCTTGGCTTCTTCTTTCTTGATCTCCTTCACGAGGTCCACTTGAACGAGTAATAGTGAAGCCAAACATTGCCCCTGGCACACGCATGGACGCGTCAGGCTCTGATTCTGCCTCTGTATCGGAGCCAGAGTCAGAACTTAGAAATTCGCAATTCGGAGAAAACTCCGGAAACGGGTCATCAAACGTGATGCGCATTCTTGGTGAGTCAGGGCCAAACGATGTGAGAGGTGTTTGCGAAGAAGTGGAAGAATTAGAGGGTCCTGAGTTTCTGGATAGTGCCGACGATGCACTCGCTGTTGCGGAGGTAAACGAGGAATCGAGGCTAGGGAGCTGGTCATCTGGTGTAATGGTAGTCAAGAGCGTCTCCCATGAATCATGCATTTCATCCTCTTCCGGCCCGAGACTACGCTCTCGATCACCAAGGCCATCAACTACGTGGCGTCGTCGGGACCGGCGCTCGCTTGCAGCTACGGATCGATGTCCAACTCTACGGAGCAATGGCATGTTTGAATCCGGTCCGTCGTTCGGAACGGTGGCTGGGGACGCTGTGCTTGAGCGGGAGATCGTTTCGCCGTCCACGGGGTGCGCCGGTGCAAATCGAGGAGTCAAATAAACTCGCTCAGATGTTTCAGCGTTCCTAGAACGCGGAACCTGAGGTACAGCGGGCTGTGGAAAATCTCCGTACCAATACGGCCTGGGCATTTCGAATCTCAGCGACGACTCTCTGGGTATTCGCATCCGATGGCCAGGGGAGGAGTAGCGCAGCGAGTCCCTCAGAAGATGCTGGCCCATCTCATGCCGAGTGATTGAATTCAGAGAATTCCAGGTTCCCAAATCATCCGTGGGCGAGACGTTCGATCTAGGGCTACGCGAGCCGCGGCTGTTGACTTCCCGTTCCGCTTCGCGGGTGAAGGCGTCAAGCATGTGCGGTAGAGGCCATCGTGTTGAGGAACCGCGATTATTGCGCGAGTTGCTGATGATGGCGCCATTCCGTCGAGGTCGACGGATAGCGTTCTGGCGTCGAATGGACGACCGGGCGACAGCGGAGGGGTCCGGTTTGAAATTCTGTTCAGTGCGCGATGCTACGGGTTCGTATACAAGCCTATTGATACAACAAGAAGCTTAACGTGGTGTGCCGCGCAAAAACGTGGTGATGGTGAGAGGAGATAGTGATGCATCCGACAAACACGTCAAAGGGCAGGACGAATTCAACTTACGGGATGCCCATGATCAACCAACAACACGGATTCCAGGTTCAGAGGCAGGTCAACAGACAGATCGCTTTTCTGCGATTCAGAATCTCGAAACGGGATTAAAAATTAATTGACGGCTGCGCTGGGTGCTCTTCAGACGCCAGATGATTTATGTTTGTCGCTGAGTGAGGCGGGCTGGGTCTTCATTCCTTTGGGGGGTTCGGAGGAGCACTCCCCAAACATCGCTGATACCAAAATTACAGGACAGGGCATGGAGAGAACCGCGGCGAGTTCTCCGCGTGGTGCGAAAGTTACATGAAATCTCGGCGTATTCAACTCTGCCACGGGGCTGGGCCGCTGTTTGAGACTCGGAAGCAAGAAAATCCGAGTGCACGCGTGAGTGGCTAGGGCAGGCTTGGCGGCGCGTGTTCGTGGCGTCAAAATGTGAGTCCGAATCTCGACGCCGGAGGCCAGAAGGCTCTGAAAGCGCCGGCCCTGCGAAGGCGATTGAGCGGCCCAAATCGTCGGCTGGCTGTTTCAACCGCAACTCAACCTTCCTCGCGAGTGGGCGTGTTAAGCGCGTGGGGGTAATCACGTGGATTCCCGGCAAAACTCCCTGCTGCCAACGCACGGCGCCAGCTGTTGGATGACCTGGCTTCGGATCCCGCTGGCACTCAGTGACTATATATAGTGCTTGCTCTGATTTGGATGGTATAGCCTACAAGGTGCTGTGAATACTATTATAAGACGTTGCTTCTTCCACCTAGCTGGCTCCAACCTAGGTTTATTATCACGACATCCCGGATAGTCATGAAACTTTTTAAAAAGACATCAAATACCAAAACATTTCCCTTCCGATAACGATGATCGAATTGGGGCTATCTCGAATAACTCAGCTGGTCCAGAAGCCAAGCTTGACCTGGAAGGCCATTCATGTTGCTGGGACGAATGGCAAAGGGTCAATTACCGGATATTTGTCCGCCTTGCTCACTGCAGGCGGCGTGCGGTGTGGCTCTTTTACCTCGCCGCATTTGATCGATCGTTGGGATTGTATTACTATCAATGAACGCGCTGTTCAGGAGTCTATCTTCCGGCGAATCGAAAACGAAGTCAAACAGAGAAATCAGCGATTGGGTCTTGGGGCTACGGAATTTGAACTTTTGACCGCTACTGCGTTCGAGATCTTCTCTCAGGAACAGGTCGAAGTCGGGGTTGTGGAAGTCGGCATGGGTGGCCGCCTTGATGCCACAAATATCTTGACAAACGTCCTCGTATCTATCATCTCGAAAATTGGGTATGATCATCAAGCTATATTGGGAAACACTATTGAAGAGATAGCCCGGGAAAAAGCTGGCATAGTAAAGCCGGGAGTGCCTTGTGTTGTTGATAGCACGAATTCTCACGAAGTGAAGCAAGTAATCCAGGCCCACGCAGAGACGCTAGACGCACCAACTACATTCGTCAACGCTCACCATGTCGGACAACTTTTTCCTCTTCTTCGCGATAAATTTAGATCCCTTGATCTTCCCCCTCACCAGCGCGCGAACCTTTCGTGCGCCATTACGGCTTTGCAGGTCGCTTTACCCCAGATCCGACCAGATTTAATGGTCGATCAACTATTTCCATTTATATCCAAGACTCCACGCCCAGGCAGATTGCAGGAAGTTTGTCTTGAGACGTTGATCTCTCGAAATGAACCGGTTCTACTCGACGGTGCGCATAACCCCCAATCTGCGGAGGTCCTGGCTTCGTATGTCGATCGAAAATTCCGAGCTCACGCCAAAACCATTACCTGGGTCGTGGCGGCTTCGCAGGGAAAGGATATCGTAGAGCTGCTCGGGTGCATGCTAAAGCCGGGTGACAATGTGGCAGTGGTGGAGTTTGGGCCGGTAGCGGGCATGCCATGGGTCCGGAGCGTGCGTAGCACCGAACTCGCTACGGCGGCACGCGACGTTCCTGGCATCGGGGCTGTCGAGGGCTTCGAAAGAGATGTTCTGGCAGGGTTGAATTGGGCTAACACGATATCAGCGGGCGGACCCGTGGTTATTGCTGGCAGTCTGTATCTTGTTTCTGATGTGCTGCGGCTGCTTCGGGAAGCTCAAGCTGGAGTTGCTCGTGATGCAGTAAATTAATGACTTGGCTCTCGTTGGGCCTGGCCGTCAGGGATCATGCGGATTAGGGGGCATGAAGTGGGGGGGATTTTCCTGTTCTTCATTGTAGAAAATCGACAGATGAATAGCATGCGCAGCTGTTTTAAAAAACACACACTGTAGACTGCCGGGAGCAAGATCTTTATTTTTAGGCTGTCTTTTCCATCGTTCCTTGCGCGAACGGAGAACACCGTAAAGCTCCACATGTTCGACATGGGGCTTGTGGTCGTTTAATTTGCGGATTGTTCAATCATCATCTTGAAGTCTATGGCGTCGAAGGCGCTAAAAGGCCAAAGCTGACTTGTCTTCTGTGCCACCCCAGCACGGCAGCCAACTGCGTCATCCCGACCAGCACACTTCGACTAGGGATCGAAACAACTCTGCAGCCACAAGTTTTCCTAAGTTCTCCACCAGCATGCTTAAAATCCTCCATTACCCTTCCCGTTTAAGATGAACTGCTTGCGTTGAACGTTCTCGACCGCTCCTTGTCCTGTCTTCCATCTTTTCCTTCTCGAGCTCCTCAATTGATCTCAGCGCCAAATTATCGACAACCCTGTCTCTATCTTGGACCTTTTACCGTGGCCCCTCCTCAAATGTTTCCCGGCAGAGATTGTCCACTTTCATGAGCGTGTCTGACATGAAGACCGGGTTATCGATATCGTCACACTCGCCCCAAGTATCGTTCCGCCCGCCACTCGCCAGTTGAGAGCCTTTCCATCATGGTGCACCGGTCCGATGATTCAGGGGACATCCGCCCTCCGTCCCGCGCTCACGATACTCCGTCTCGACAGAAACTGAAACCGGGAACTAGCCCGCCGAAGAAGGAGAGGTCAAGGTCGTCCGCGAAAGATGTCTCGGAGCTGACAGATTATGTACGTTGACACTTTGGTTGATGGGATATGCAGCAGACCGCGTTTGCTGATAATGGATGCCGACAGCAACTGGGCGACTGCCTTGGCAAAGGTGCATTCGGCTCGGTATATAGAGCGTTGAACTGGGGAACCGGCGAGACCGTTGCCGTCAAACAAATTCGACTTGTGGACCTGCCGAAGAGTGAATTGAGGGTGATCATGGTGAGAGACCGCTCTTGAGACCTAGATCCTTGGAAGTAACATCTCTAAATTCTCTAAACATTACAGCAAGAGATCGATCTTCTCAAAAATTTGGACGTGAGTTTCCCGGATCGCAGAATATGGTTCAGGAACCACGTTTTGACTTAAAAGTTACTAGCATCCGAACATTGTTAAGTACCATGGGTTCGTGAAGTCTGTGGAAACCTTGAACATTATATTAGAGTATGTTACGTTCATTACCCAAGTCATTGAGCGCTTTCAGTCTTAACTGATGGAGTAGATACTGCGAAAATGGCTCCTTGCATTCGATTTCAAAAAATTTCGGCCGGTTTCCCGAAAACCTCGTCGCCCTCTATATGTCTCAAGTCCTATCGGGTTTGCTCTACCTACACGAACAAGGCGTTATCCACCGAGATATCAAAGGTGCAAATATCCTTACGACGAAACAGGGCTTGGTTAAACTGGCAGACTTTGGTGTTGCCAGTCGCACGACAGGTCTCCATGAGTCGAGCGTTGTCGGAACTCCATACTGGATGGCACCAGAGGTGATAGAGTTGTCCGGAGCGACTACGGCCTCAGATATATGGAGTTTGGGATCTACCGTAATAGAGCTGTTGGAAGGGAAGCCACCATACTATAAATTCCAGCCTATGCAAGCGTTGTTTCGGATTGTCAATGATGACCATCCTCCGCTTCCTCAAGGAGCTTCACCGGTTTGTTCCCAGGCCCTCTCGGCGATAACAGATCGAGCTACTAATGTCGATACAGGCCGTAAAGGATTTCCTCATGCAGTGCTTTCAAAAGGACCCCAATCTTCGTGTAACAGCTCGGAAGTTGTTGAGACACCCTTGGATTGTTAACGCCAAGCGGTCCGACTCTGTTGTTCCAACAAAGTCTACAGAATACGAGGAGGCTGTCAAAAGCGTCCAGGAGTGGAATGAAGCACTCCGATCCCCTAACCCGAATACCTTACGAAGACCCATGCGATCTGCATATGCAAGCCCTGGACATAGTCAGAGAAAACGTTCACATTCCCGTCAGCCTTCCTCTCGCGAATCCCTCCCCGCCATAAATACACATGTCACGGATAAATTTAGGTCTCCAGAAAATAATGATGACAATTGGGATGATGATTTTGCGTCTGCATTCTCACCAAGCGCCCTTCAGTGTCCTCGTCTAAAGCCACAGGACAACTTTGGCGGCATGTTATCTTCGGAAAAACTTAAGGCATTTGCTTCTCTCGAAAATATCGCGGAGCTTGGCACCGATAAATTCACCGAAAATGGTGCATTAGCCAGAGATAGAACAGCTTTCTCAGATTCCGATCCGCTGCAAACTATTCGCCCATATGTTAAAAAGCAACCAGATGAACATCAAAGCCCCCCGAAGCTTCCAAGAAGAACTCGGCATCGTCAAGTTCCTACGCCGTCCTTCAAAAAGAGTGCAATCATTGCCCCCATTGCTCGTCAATCTCCCAAACCTGCGTCTCACCCACGTCCCGCGGCCTTCTACAAGGAGAGCTCCATCGAAGATTATTCTGATCTTATCGCTGCGAACGAAGAAGTACTTGAAAGCAAACTATCAGTGATTCCGGTGGGTTGCTCACTGCTAATTCATCCTCTCCCTGAAATTTAACTCACGATTGATAGGGCAATGCCACCGATGAGATGGGCCATCATGCCCGGGATCCCAATGGGTCGGGCCTTTTCGATGACACCGTGGTACACTCGCCCGAAAAGGGCGTTTTTCAGTTGCCATTAAGAAGGAGGAAGCCGCAATTATCAAGAGCACGAACATCAATTGGGATTGAGA